GTTCGTCCCTATTGCACCACCACAGAAGACGCCGATCATATGAAACTCGTCATCTCGCAAGTTTCTCCAATGGCCATAAATGATGCTGCCTTCAAGCCAGAAAGACTCCTGGACAACATCAGGACTCACCTCACCGATCCTAAAGACGCTTACCGTAAGTGGCATGAGAGACTGCTCCCCCACTTTCAAGAACAATGGAGGAGGCAGGGCATCGATAAGGCTATCCTCCTTTCAACCCAGCCTTTTCACCTCCATGATAAGGCCCTATTGGCAATGGCAGCTTTCTGGTATTCACAGATGGGAGTTTTCTTTCTCCCTTCTGGTCCTATTGGCCCAATCCTCATGGACGTGGCCATTATCGCCCACTTACCCATAGTGGGCGATGATCCCGTTTTGGTCTCTTTCGAGGGTTGGGAGCCTTCGCCCGACCACGCAGGTTGGGCTCTTGCCAAAATTAGCGAGAAGGAGAGAGGCTGGACAAGCTTCGTCACCAAATTTTTGGGCGAAGAAGGCACTCCTGTCTCCGAGTTGGAACACACTGCTTTCCTCATTTTTTGGCTATGCAGGTACATTTTCTTTTCCTTATACTTTTCCATATAAACTTGAAGTTGGATGTTTAATTAAGTTTCTTTTTTCTTCACAGACATATAATTATTTCCCCCTTTAAACTCGTCCTTTCTTCTCAGGTCGACCTAGCCATTCATCTGGCCAATGGCCAATTTTTTTCCTTAGGCACCTTGTTTTTGGCTAACCCTTTTGAGGGCTTGTCCCGAGTGAGCACCCGCCTAACCGACACCAAAAAGGCAAACACCACTGCTTCGGGACCATTTTGGTTCCTTGAGTTATGGCTTCGCCTATATTTCCCGAACACATTTTTTGGCCGTCTGCCCATTAGCTTGAACCCTCAGAGGTCGTTAGGTTTTGCCTTAGCCAGATTAACCCTAGCTCCTCTAATCTTCATCCATCTGACCCCGTCATCACCCAAATTTTGACCGAGGACCGTAGCAACTCCCATTACTATGTTTATGACACTCTTGTCCAATATGCTACCGACATTTTCTGGCTTTATCCCGACACTCCGTATCCCCGATCTTATCCCAATCGTCTTCCCCATCCGACCTATCCCTTCTTGTGGGATTCTGCTTTAAAACCCCGATCTCTATTTTCAAGTAAGAGGCCGGACAAGAAAAAATACAGATCTTTTTATACCTTTGACTATCAACCCCAATTTTTGGCCCGATAGTTCGGTTGCTATCAGGGTCTTCCGGGACCACTTGCCCGGCCTCACCTTATACCCCAAAGTTCGGAAGGGCTAGTGATCCCTGAGCTCATACCACCCTATCTTTCCCAACTCACCTCCTACATTACCTATAATTCTTACTTACCTTTCCGCCTTAAACCTTCGGCGGCTGAGGCTTTACCGACCTGGTGGTCAGCCACTTGGTCTCTCATTGCTCCTCCAACTGACCAGTTGGTTGGAAAACTCATTCTGCCCCTAGCATTGGCGATGGGTTCTCCCTGACTAGCCTCTGCTCCTAGAAGGAAGAGGCCGGCTCTTGCCGAAGGCGAGTCTGGGACGCAAAAGAAGAAGAAGAAGACCGCCCCCGCCGTCGACAGGCAGGTAGTCGAGGAGTACCTACTGTCTTTGCTGGTGGACACAAACGGATTGCCAAAATATTTGAGATAGCAATTCGGTAAGTCTTTATCCCTTCAAGTTTGTCTTTTTCAATGTATGCTCTTCTCCACTTTATCATTTCCTATTCAGAGACCCCTTCCCTGCCACCGACCAATTTATCATTGTCCAATTTCACTACTAACTTCAAACTTTCTTCCATAGGTCAACCCAAGTCCTTCGACGGTTGCTCCTCACATGACCCCTATTATTGCAGGGGGGAACCGCCGATGATCCGCCGGCCTGAGGAGCCGACGGGGAGGCAAATTTCTCTCCAGTTCTGCCCTCACCTGTTCCTTTAACGTCACAGGTAACTACAAAATCTCTTTCCATATTACTACATGACTATTTCCTATAAGTTTCTAACTGGTTTATCATTACTCAACTAGGAACCTGAAGCGGTCGCTGCACTGCCCGACCAAGTCGTTGCGCTGCCCAACCAGGTCGCTATCCCGCCTTTGCAACCAGCCGCCCAGCCTGTGGGCGAGAGACTTCTTGCAGCTCCACAACCAGTCCAACCTAACCCACCACCTCATGAAGTTGAGGAGATTTCTTACTCGAGGTCGGGTGAAACTTCAGTGAACCAAAACCCAAGGGATGTGGTTAGTATTCCTTCACATTTACCCTTTGATTACTTTGTTTTTTCCTTAACTGAATTCTTCTTTCAGGGTTTGGGACCAGTCACTGCCCATCGTCTTCAAGCAACAGACGAATCGGCCATTGGCCCAATGACTCGCCGATGTCTTCCTTTGGCGTTTCGGATACTGGCTCCTTTCGAGGCAACAACCGTATTCAACCAGGTAGCTTTCGACCCTGTATATGATAAGTTCATTTCTGTTCCTCCATACTTTTAACACTTTTTCAATCCAGGCTGCCCAAGAGATAAACGTACTGGCCCGAGTAACTCTCCCGACTCCCGCCCGACCTATCATAGCACGCTGTGCTGACTTTTCTTTCGCCGACTTGTGTCCAGCCGACCTTGAGGCTTTGGTTCAGGTCGCGATAGACTTGCTGGTGCAGCATGCAATGGAGTCGGGAGCTACTCCCATCCTTGATTGGATGATGGAGAGGATTACGGAACTCCAAGCCAAATTATCTCTGATCTGACCTCCGTCGTCCGAGGCCACGTCATCTTAACCGATCGCTGATCCTGCTGGCCTTGAAGTATCCTTGAAAAAGGTCAACGAAGACCTTGATCACGCCAAGGCTACGCTGGATGAACTCCAACAAATCCGACAAACGCTGGCGGCTGAGATCTTCCAGAAGACGGAACAGCTCAGGTGTCTTCAACAACAGTTGGAGTCCCTGGATGACAACATCCAGAAAAGAGGTCGTCTGTAGGAGGAACATCACCAAACGCAGACGAGTCTCTACGATCAATTACAGGCAAGCATACGAATGAGACTCATTAGAGGACACCAAGAGGCCTATCAGCATTGTGGGGCAATCCGGTCGGAGCTGAAATGGGTCGACCTCCGAGCCGCCCTTCGGGCCGTCATTTCTCTGTAGCTTTGTATCTATATATACATAGTCTTGATACTTAGTCTATGTAACCTATTCTTTAGAACATAGATCCGTGATTTTTGCACATAAACTAAGTCAGCAATTTGAACACCACAATATGTATATATATAATTCATATTTCTTCATTACGAACATCACCAATACCCACAAACTTGCACTTACACCCCATGAATTCTCCTCGCATTCGTGTCCCTGCCACTAATTGGGAAGGTTCTTTGCAACCATTCATTGTGGAAAAACACCCCACAGGCCATCATACTGAAGACCTGATACAGGTGCTCAAGCAGCTCGACTTTAAATTCAAGTTCTCTGGTAAAGGTAGGAAAATCATACATCGTACGATTCGCCTAATGGAGCGTGTGTCTACCAGCTACGAACCCCTCATTGATATTCTTACTCGCATATCCGACCTTGATCATCATATGGATATGATAAACCATCATGTCATGGCCATTCTCCCTGACCTTAGCTGGAACAACATTTTCTGTCAACAAAGATCAACACTCTCCAGATTGCGGGTACTTGTTGAGCGGGAAAGTCACTCTTTACAAGATATGAAAGTTCGCACCGAACAAGACCTTAAAGAAATGCAAGACCAATGAGATCATTATCATCCCGACCTAGAGGATCTTCTGGACGAGGAACCTGAAATAGTTTCGACGAATTGGGATGAGGTTTCTGAACCAGAAGATGATCATGTTTGTGTCACCCTTTCTGATGTTGAATAAAACCCTTTCCTGTGGGTTCGAACCTTTAAAAGGTTCTTAGACTTCTTGTAATAAAACTTAACGACAGTACTCTGAAAAGGCAAGAAGATACCTTTTCAAATACTTGGCGTTAATATTTTCATGTACCAATTTCCCTTCCTGATTCACAATAATAAAAGCTCCGTTTCCAATTACTTTGTGAATGATGAAAGGACCTTCCCAATTGGGAGACCATTTGCCTAACTGATCCACTTTCTTATATGTAGGCACAATTGTTTTCCACACCAAATCTCATTCTGCAAAAACTTTAGGGGATACTCTTTTTCCATAATACTTAGCTCTAATCTCATTTTTTCTGACCACTCGATCCAGAGCATTCAATCAATCGGTGTCTACTTCCTCCAGTCGTCGCCACATCCCTTGTATATACGTTTCATCATTATTCACCGTTGTATTAATTACTCTGGGTGAAGATACAATAAATTCTGCAGAAAGTACAACATCTTGCCCGAACGTGAGCTGGTAGGGAGAAAATCCAGTAGAAGTATTCCTACTATTTCGGTGGGCCCATAATGCCATTTCCTTGGATTTCCCTGCACCATTTTCTGGATGATGCCAACGACGATTTTATTTGCCGCTTCGGCCAATCCATTAGCTTGTGGGTAGTAAGGTGAAGAATGATGCAATTTGATATTGAACTCGGCCAAAAACTCAATAAATTTTTCCCCGGTAATCATCAATCCCTGATCGGTCGTAAAAGTGTGAGGGATCCCAAACCAATAAATAATGTGATTAAGTACGAACTCAATCACTTCTTTTTGTGTCGCGTTCCTCAAAGGGACTGCCTCTACCCATTTGATGAAATAATTAGTTGCTACCAAGATGAACGAATGTTGCTTTGATGAAGCCGGATGAATTTTCCCTATTACATCCAACGCCCAGCCTTTGAATGGCCACGGTTTGATCATCGCCTGAAGTTCCACTGCTGGCAGATGATTTAACGGGCCATGCCTCTGACACTCTTGACATCCTTTAGCAAATTTGATACAATCATCAAATTTATTTGGCCACTAGAACCCCAGACGATGAATAGCCCATCACATGTTCAGTCCTGCTCGGTGTGCTCCACAGATTCCATCATGAACTTCTTCCATCATTTTGATGGATTCTTCTGGTCCCAGACACCTTAATAATACTCCTTCAAAGGTTCTCTTATACAGAACCCCTTCAATGAGTTGAAAACGTAATGCTTTCAATCGAATACCCATATAAGTCGCAGAATTTGGTGCTTCCAAATAGACCATAATTTCTGTTCTCCAATCGGTAATCGTATCAATGTTGCCAACAAATATTTGCTGACACGCATTCTGAACCAAATTATCTACTTGTTGATTCTCTATTCTCGGTACATGCTTAATAACCACCTCCGCAATTCTATATAACAAGTGATATACCAAATTTCGATATTGACGTAAATGAGGATAATTACAAGCGTACCTTTTTAACACTTTATTGATAACCAATTGAGAATCCCCATAAATAATAACCGTCTGTGCTCCTTTGGCCACGAGTGCCTCCAAACCCAAAATCAAAGCTTCATATTCTGCAGAGTTATGAGTCATCTCCTCCATTTGAAATTGCAGACTGATCTTCTCGGCTCCTGGTCCTTTAGAACGAGAACCATCAAAAAATATTTTCCAATGACTAGTACCTATCTAAGGTACCATCTTGCCTTCTGTTCGTTAACTATTCGTAAATTCAGCTAATAAATCAGCCACCACCTGCCCTTTCACTGCCTTGATAGGTTGATGTCGCAGCACAAAGGGAGTCAGTCTTATCGCCCATTTCATTAATCTTCCCTGCATAGTTGGTCTGTGCAGAATTAATTTGATCAGATCCACTTTGGAAACCACCTCGGTTTCTCTTGGCAAAATATAGTGCTTCAATCGAGTACATGCAAAGACTAAAGAATAACACATTTTTTCAAGCATGGTATACTTCAGCTCCGGCTCTTCTAGAGTTTTGCTTAAGTAGTATATAACCCTTTCTTTACCGTATTCCTATTCCTGTGCCAACAAACTACTCACCACATCGAAACTGTTTGCCACATACAGTCTAAGAGGTTAGTCTCCTCTTGGAGGAACCAACACGGGTGGTTTTGTTAATGCCTGCTTAATTTCTTCTAATGCCTCATGCTGCTCCAGACCCCAAGAAAAATCAATTGCTTTATTCTTTAGCAACCTTGTGATGGGTTTTAACTTTCCTGCGGCATTTGATATGAACCTCCTCAGGTAATTCACATTACCCAACAAACTTTGCACTTCTTTGACCGACTGAGGGGGTCGTATTGTTAAAAAATCTTTAGTTTTGTTTGCATTAACCTCTATCCCCTTTTCATGCACTAAAAAACCCAGGAAATTTCCTGTCGAAACTCCAAATGCGCATTTCGTTGGGTTCATCTTAAGGTTGCATTGCTTCATCCGTAGGAGAACATTTCTTAGGTCGACTAGATGTTTATCAAAGTCAGTAGACTTAATGATCACATCATCAATGTATACCTCCATTGATTGCCCAATCAAATCGTGAAAGATAGTATTCATTGCCCGTTGATAGGTTGCTCCAGCATTCTTTAACCCGAACGGCATAACCGTCCATTCGTAGATCCCCAAAGCACCAGGGCACCTGAATGTGATTTTCGGTATATCTTCTTCTGCCATTGAGATCTGATTATGCCTTGCATAACCATCCATCAAGCTCAAACTTTGGTGTCCCGGTGCTGAATCGATCAACATATCAGCTATGGGCATTACATTCTCATCTTTAGGGGTAGCCAAATTGAGATATCTGAAGTCAATGCAGATCCGAATCTTTCCATTCTTCTTCGTTACCGGGACAATATTGGCTAACCATTCTGCATACCGACATGGTCGAATGAACCCTACTTTAAAAAATTTCTCAATTTCTTCTTTGATTTGTGGAAGTAGCTCTGGACTAATCCTTCTTGGTTGTTGCTTATACGGCTTGAACCCCTTTTTAATGGGCAACCTATGCTCTATTAGATCGTGTGCCAATCCGGGCATTTTGGAATAATCCCATGCTTTGAACACTCCGTATGGTACCGAATTACCGTCACCATTTGCTCATGTTGGTTTTTAGACAACAAACCACTAACCCTGACCATCTTGGGTATCTGTTCGGTTCCTACATTGTATTCAATAAGCGGATCCTGAGTTGACAAGGAATGTTCTATTTTCTCCAGAAGGTCAGGACAGCGAAAGCCTTCTTCTTCATCAATATTATTGCTCGAACCTTCATCGCCATGTAATATAACCATTAATTGGTTAAAATGAAATTGCCTAATCAACAAGTCGTATTCACTTATCTCTTCCATAATTAAACTTTAATAAATTTAATGTTTTTGGCTAACAACAGAGCCACAATAGAGAAAAATATTTCTAATGAAACACATACCCCTGCGCAGTGAGCTTACAGCTCTTCCAGGGATACTCATCTACCACAGTAGTCTATGTGATCGGAGGTACATATTCAGAGTAAAGCACGGATTCTTCCACAATCTCTGTGGAGCCGAACAGATTTGTGCTGGCATCCATTTTGAACACTTGATCTCCTTTCCAGAACATGATCTGCTGATGGAGAGAATAGGGCACACACTTGGAAGCGTGAATCCAATCTCGCCCCAACAGGACCGAGTAAGTGGTGTTAGCATCCACCACATAGTTGAAATCACCTTCGGTCCCACCTCAATAGGGGCCACCATCATTCCCTCTGGTTTCGTTGGCTGCCCTGTGAAGCTTGTCATCTCGATATCAACTGGAGACAAATCACCAACTCATTTTCCCAATTTCCTCAAGGTTTTGAGAGGCATAACATTGAAGGCAGCTCCATTATCAATGAAAACCTTGTTAATCGGCTTACCACAGATGTGAGCGTTAACATATAATGGTTTCAAATGCGGGATCGCCCCTTCTGGTATAGGTCGAAAAACCATAGGTGGGGGACTACTGCGCGAATGTCTGGGACTGTCAGCCATTGTCGCCCATGGTTCCTCGTCCTTCATACTTGCCCAGATAGGTTCATTCTCTTCTTCGAACCACCGTATACCAGTCATCCTGACTTCGAACATGGTCTTGTCGCCTTTACTATCTTACTATGTAAAGTTCTCGTCTCCTCTGGAGCAAACGATCCAAAGATTATCTCAGGGGTCTCCTCTTCGGCGGCTTCTATCTCAGGATCAATGTTCATCTGTCTGCAGAATTAACAACAGAAACACCTGGCCTTCTTGACAGGCCTCTCGATTTCCCGATGCTCCTGTAGTTGGTCTCTTGGTTTTTTCCTTTCAGGCGGCGCATCCATTTTCTGCCTCCCTTTGTCTGCTCGCCTCTCATGCCGAGCTGCGTACCTGCGCTTAGCATTACGGATTTGCGTACGATTCACACCTGAAATCGTGGATCTATATCTATGGGTAAAGGCTTCCTGTTTTGACTCCATTTGTCATGGACTGGTTGTGGCTTGCGTGTTGTTCGATCTCGAACCACCATTTTGTCTCTGAACTCCACTTCGAAAGAGCCATCCTTGTTGTCCCATTTCTCTGCTACCTTGGTTTCACATGTCTTGAACTTATCATCTTGCTCATGCTTTTGCTCTTTTGGCTTACGCTCCTTCCGTTTGGTTTCTCTTTCATCGTCCCTTTGTGTGTTATGTGAAGAACACACAAAGATTACCGCAGTAGTTACTTTTGGGAAGGGCTGCTGCTCTACCCCCATAGTCACATATTTAAACAGTCCAGCTTTGATGGCCCTCTAAATTTCTTTCTGGAAGTGCGTACACTGGTTAGTGTAATGCGTAAAGGAGTTATGCTACTTGCAGTATGACCTTCCCTTTATTTTCTCCTTTGTCGCCAACCGCTGTCCCTTTAGGATGCGAATTTGCCCATCTGCTAACAGAATATCGAAGATTTCATCTGCTTTAGATGCATCAAACGTCGGTTGCTCCCGCTCTTCTGCCCCTGGGAGGGGTTTCAGTTTGGAACATACATAAGGCTTGCCATTTACAATATCAGCCGCCATTTCTTCAGCAACTTTCCCTAGTTCATCATCTGGTGCATACATCTCTGTATCGACATTGGCCATCTGCTGGATACATCTCTGTATCGACACTGGCCATCTGCTGGACCTTATTCCGCCGGAAGTTGTGATCCTTTTCTTTAAAGAGGGATTCTAGTCTCCCTGCTTTAGATGCTAAACTGGCCAAATCTCCAACATTGTGGGCTGTCAAAGCCTCTCGTAGTCGCGTTCTCCTCAATGACTGTTGGGCAACGTCATTTCATCAGTCGTATCCGTTCTATGAACTGGTAGGTGGTTTCCTCCGGCATCTGCCTAATCTCTAGAAGTCGGTAAGTGAGACTGTCGGAAGAGGATTAAAAAACCTTGCATGAAAGCCCGCTTCCAAACCCTCCCAAGTTTGCAACTATCCTGGCGGAAGATTGGACCAGGAAAAGGTTGTTCTTGTGAGGGACAATCCAAACAGTTACAATTTATAAAATGAATTGTTGCCTACTTCCCTTAATTGAGCCGTGAAACGTCCTATATGCTCAATGGTCGATGCTCCGTTTTCTCCCGAAAAGGAGTGGAAATCAGGTGGCCTATAATTCCTCGAGAGTGGATGCTCATTGATTATTCTTTCTGGAAATGGCCTCTGATAAGCCGGCCTGTTCACTATTTGAGGATTCAATCCGAAATGTACCCGCAGAACTTGAGCGATTTCTTCTGAATCCACTCTGGCTAGAATGAGATCGCAAGCAGGAATGGGATTGTGAGCCTGTCCCCCCATTCTCTCTTCTCTGGGGAAGGTCGGCTCAGCCCTGATGACCAGTGGAACATTGTTTGGGTATGTTAGAGGGGTTTTTCCTCTATCGACCCTAGTAGCGGCACTTGGAAGGGTGCTGTCAACATATGAGGGCCCCGCAAAATTGGTTTGTAATCTGGATGGTGACATCCCTGGGGGTGATGGAGTGGGTTGGATAGTAACCCTATAAAGCTTGATCTAGCATGTTCTGCATGAGGTTTTGTTGCTCACGCAACATATTTTGCATAGCCAAAGTTTGCTGATTGTTCAAATGTTGAACATAAAACACCCAATCGATGGGTGCTTAGGGTGCTTCCCCTGCATTTGGCATGGCGGGTGGTGAAATTGTTTCTCCCGCCGGTGTTGAAGAGACTTGGGGCTGTGAGCCTGCCATATGGATTCTTCCGATGATTCGGCCGGATCTCAATCGTATGAAATTTTCTCTTGATGTAGGATCAACAATCTTGCCTCGACTCCCACTTTGGTCGCCAAATTGTTGATGTAGATTTTCAACAATAAAAAGTAAAATCCGAAAAAAGAAATTATCTTCGAATTAAAAAGATGTCTGAAATTGAAAATCCCTAGACACTGTACGATACATAAGAAAATTGAAAAGAACACTAAAGACTGTAAAAGTAAAAGGATGATCCCCAAAAGAAATTCATAGAATTTGATGTCGATTGAAGATGCATTTTCCAGGTCGAAAAAGGCCTACTTGTAAACCTATGTAAACCGCCTTAATGTTGTTATCAGATCGTGCCACTACAACCGCTCGTCAGTTGTAACTTCTTCCAACCGCACTACAATTGCTTCTCAACCGCCTTATTTAACCGACCGACCTGAACATTCACCGTCTCATCTTCTTTCACCCGACTTCCCTTTGTCCAACCTCCGTATCGACTAGCCTAAACACCACCGTCTTATCTTCCTTTGCCCGACTTTCCCTTGTCCGACCTCCATATCAACCGACCTAAACGCCTACTGTCTCCTTTTCCTTTGCCTGACCTCCCCTTGTCTGACCCCTGTATCAACCGATCACTTAGTCGAAGGTCCTCTCAAAGAAGCCCATTTCTTAGTAACGCCTTGATCGT